ACTACTAGCGTGGCACTTGTTACTACTAGCGTGGCACTTGTTACTACCAACCCAAACAGAGCTTTTCTTTTCTGAACTTACTTGCTAGGGACGCTTCGACTCATGTTGCGGGGCCGTGGTCATGTGTTGGTCAAAACTGGTTTCTGCAAACTCCTTCGGACCCGTTTTCGGCTTCGTTTGACCGGTAGCGGTGGGTGCTTGGGGTGTCAGGCCGTGGCTGTGCCGTGTGGGTCGTCAGCACACGCGGTTCGTAAGCTGTGACCTGAAGCTCGGCCTTTCTCTTTAGGCATGCTCCGTGTTAGGCATGCCATTCTTCTTCCATGTCTTCTTCCTCCTACTACTACCTTCTTCTACTACTATTATCTTCTACTACTAGTGAGTAGGAGTGGGCAGCAGCGTTGGGTCGGAGTGGTAGGAGGAGTACAGGGTGAAGAATAACTATACCAAACAAAAAACTACATCCTCTTGCGCCAACTCCCAGCCTGTGCAAACTGCCTTCCCATCCAGTGCTGGGTGCAAAATCTGCTCTTGGAGTCTTCATGTTCAGCGGAACAGTCACCTGTTCAGCGAAACAGTGGAAGAGACCATTCATGTGATCATTCGTGAAGCCTAAAAGACGTCTCTAGTCCTGTACGAAAACTCTTCACTCAACTTCCAGAACTCTCACTCTGCCGTCAGCTTTGCACCTGCACACCCTCCAGATCAGGAGGGAAAACATACGCTCGTGAGTCAGAGAGGTAGCACCATGCACGTAGAACCTGTCCAGCCTGAAATGGTGCAGGTTCAAAAGGGAAAACGGCATTGACCGATGGACAACATCGCGTTTTGATCATTGCGACTGAGGCCCCAACGTCTACAAAATGAGTCAGATGAATGGTCACTGTATTCTTGCCGGCCGTGGCCTGATGTTGCAATATCCAAGCACCGCGAACACAGCGACCACAGCGATCTATCCTATCTTCTTCTTCTATGGTGTCTTTAGATCTCTATGTAATGATTGCGTAGAAAGCCAAGAACAAACATCGAGCAATTTTGTGTTTTTTCATGTCCGTTCTGGCCTGACACGCCAAGTCGAAACACCAAGTCGAACACGGGTGTTTCTCTCGCTGTCTACTCGCTTCAACGGTGACCAACGTCGCTGCTCGTCTCCAGCCTGGCTGGAGGAGGCACCCCAACCGGTGTCACCGGATCCAGGTCCAAAGGTAAAGAAACTGGAATCGGGATATAAGCCCCACCTGAGTGCCATTCAGTGCCGAAACAGAACGAAGTTTGAAAGAAAAGAACGAGTGAAAAAGAAGTGAACGGGTGAAACTCACTGACGAGCTCCAGCGCCAACTCCGAGCTGAGAACACACACGACTTCTTAGCCCATCACTGCGTCGCGGGGCCGTCGTTCAGGACGCAACGAATGACACCACCTCCGTCGTTCATGACGCTGCAGATTCAAACACCAACTTGGTGAACAGCTACTCACTAGCAAGAAACCTGAAACAAAGACAGCACTGGCATCAGCCACATCAGCTCTCAAAAGACCATTCACATTTTAAACACCTTTCAGCAAAAGAACAAACCATCCTTCCAGATCATGTGAACCTGACTTCTTCTTCTTCTTCTTCTTCTTTCTTCTCTCTTCTTAATTCTTAAAGGTCTTGTGACACGTGTTTTGGCAACGCTCAACAAGCCGCGTGCCTCCATAAGCCGAGTCCACCAGAAGCCCCAGAGAATGTGAGTTCACAGCCTAGGCTCCGTGCCGAAATTCGCCTTTGGGAAGAGCCGAAGAACCGAAAAGGACAACATGAGACCTTTGGTCTCGGCCTAAAGGTCTCGCTGACAGCCCCTCTTACTACGTGCCTCTTTGGCCTCTCTGGTCGGCGTTGCCTTGGGTCGTCCTTGCTCCTAGTAGCGATGCCAGGAGCCCCGTTCGTAGCGTTTCTTTTCTTCAATTCGGCCCAGCGTCGTAAGAGTTGTCGATTTCAATGCCGCGCACTGACTCCGTGACCCTCAAAGCTCCTGCGTAACTAGGTGCCGCATTCGCAGCTTAGAGAATCCGATGAGAACGACCAGCCCAAAGGTCTAAAAAAAATAGAATACAAAACACACCAACTTAAAACACAAATCAAGGAATTCACTTCGCCAGGGTTCTTGCATGCTCTTGCACTTCGTCGCCCAGTCCTGCGGTGTGCGTGTATGAGGCTCCATCTGCACCTCACACGTCTCAAGTCTCAACTAGGAACAAATGAACTAGAAACAAGTGCCTCGCTAGTAGTAACAAGTGCCTTACTAGTAGTA